ACTGAGAAAGGACAGCCAAATCTAGTACATCCCAGTGCAAAGACAAACGCATCCCTTTGGGTCGCCTCCTTGAGTAGCCAACAGCATTATTGACTCAGTATGTTTGGAGCCTAAACACAGAATAAAAGCTCGTCCAGAGCTTAGAAAGTAAATTCCAACATGCTTCAGTAATCACCGTCAGTGTTGCCCCTAGTAGTTTATCAACATATTAACATACAATATTCATTTTTGTCAGAAAAGAGGAACATAACAATGATGGACGCTAAGCCCCCAGGAGATCCCTTGTGCTGGAAGACTCCAGCTGAGGCCTGGACATCAAATGGCGCTGACACCATGGCACCCTCCCAGAGGCCCAATGTGCAAATCAAACTCACGCAGGAACCTCGAGAAACAGTTTTTCGTACATGTGAGCAAAGCCCTCTCTGCAGTATTTCTACATGGCAGGAAGCACATGGTAGGCTCAGGGAGGACAGTGGCAAAAGGCTGGGGAGGCAAGTTTTTCCACGTGGCAACCGCGAGCCCACTTCCTCAGGCCAGCAAAATCAGATAGCCTTCCCACGCCTTTCTAGGGGTGGGAGGACAAAGCAGACCTGACATTCCGCTCCTGCCAGCCATGAAGGCATCGACTCTAGGACGTGCAGAAACAGACATTGAGCACCATCGAGGAGGCTTCCAGCAAATAAACGCTTGCGTGCAGGTGGTGCAGTGTTGCCCATCAGACCATTTCTAACTGCTGTGGCAGCAGGGGAAATCATTCTGAATAACTGCTTCAAACTGAGTATGTGTTTCTAAAATTAAGGGTCTTCAGCCAACCAATACAGGGAAGCTGCATCATTTTGTTGAATAAAGCCTGAAAGTCTAATAGCGGAGAACTTGAATGGCAAGATTTAAGCAAGCCTTAGCTTGTGCTTGATAAACAAGCGAGCTGTACCCAAAGCAAAACCATGCAAAACTTTTCAGAGTTGCAGCAAGATGGCTGCGGTGATAGCAGCACATGATTACCCTTCTGCTCACGCAAGCTTCAGAGTGAAAGGAGCCTGGTGTGTTCCCTGAAACTTCTTGTTAATAACTATGTCACAAGGCTGACCCCGAGCTTACCAGGTCCATGTGAAAATCACCATCTCAGTTACAAAAGGAGTAGTCACAGCTCCAAGAGTCCGGAAAGCATCAGCGAAGGGAAAATGTCCAGCCGCCTAATGCCTCTTGTGAGCAGCTACCAAGACCATTCGTCTTCTGTAAAACTCTGGTCACACACACTCTAAATATAGAATAAACACTAATAAAGCACAAGCCACTTTTTCCCCTCCTGCCTTTCACACCATGAAGGTTCTAGCCTTGAGGGCTCATGCAAAGGTGAAAAGGAGACTAACAGATACCTCTTTGCAGTCAGGGTGGAGAACAAGGCTGCAGAAACACCACCACCTGCCACTTCCATGCCGCAGAGACAACTTCTGCACTTGCTTGCAATGCCCTCAGCAGTAATGAAAACGTCCCCCGGTAAGTCACAGCAGGAGCGAAGGGCAGATGAAACGTTGAGTCATCCACATATGCGGCAGACAGGGGAATGTGGGTGTGTTACCCTGTGGCTCCAAGCCAACGTGACCTCAATTAAATTTTGGTGAATGACAGGCCTTCCCCTCTTTTATGTACATACTCATCTCCTTGGTCTCCAAAGATACATCCACTGAGCCTACACACAGATACTTAATTTGGGGAGCTCTCCTGGCAAGTACAAGTCAATATGCGGCGGCAGTGGTGTTCCTCTTCCTCTCCATGTGAGTTTTGCTCACCATACCTTGGGTTTACTTCCTCCAACAGGTACTCCTACCACATCCAGACCCTTGCCAGAGCCCTACAGTGTAACTACTGGTCCGTCCATCCACATTTGCAACCCATTCCTGTTCTCCTGCTGCCTTAGAGCACACAACCCTATTGCACTCAGGAAGGAGGAAAGCCCAGGGAGGAACACAGTTTGCAACTGGGTTAATTTGGGAATTCTTGCACTCAAATGCCGTTAAAGCGTTTGCCAGGGACTTCAGTGGAAGCAGGCTAGCTCTAACATCTAGCACACTCCCATAGGAAACCTGCGTAAACTAATTCGGTTGAACCGTTAGCACTCGGGGTGATTAACCACAGGAGTCTCTGATCTCCCCTTATTAAAGAGAAGGAGAATGAAATTCACTGATTCATATCAGCTTAATATAAATCCTTGTGAGATTCGCAGTTGAATTCAGCAGTGGCAGGATCTGGTAACCTCCACGTGGGAAGAGCAACTCTGGCAAGTACACCTTCACGTGACAGGGGAAAGGTGAAGGCATCTGTACTGGATTACAACCAGTGACCAAGCCTGAGCTGTGCAAACTTCCAGCCTGTGGTGTGCAGCAGACAAGTGCACAGAAGCGCTGCGGCTCTGAGAAGGTTTTTATTCCGATGCCACTTTTGAATACTTGGCACATGGTAGGCAGACGTGTGCCATCTTGTTTTAAACAGCTCCATCTTCATCTTAAGTGTGCTTGAGAGAGATTTGGGCTAGGGGTGAGCAGGATTAAGGATGGCTGTAGTTTGACTGCAGAGCTCATTCTCTGCCACGAGAGCTTTTCCCTTCAGTAGCTAAAACGGTGCTCTGGGGCAGCTCTGGAGATGCTCACCCCACGGCAGAGAGGCCACCCCTAATAACCTCAAACCCTGTTTTTAGATGCCCCAGCCTGAGCAAAGCAGCACATGAATGTATCTTTAGTAACACTAAACAAATCTTGTTTTTCAAGACACCCTTACAAGATTGCTTGGTGTTTTACATATGTTTTATGAGATACGCTTTTTGATACATGTGTTGTTCCACTGCATCCGTGTACAATCTTGCACCTAAGTGCAACTCCACACAATGGAACAGGTGGCAAACACAGCGTGCTGTTTCTAGCTCTACCTAACTTACCAGAGCACAACGGGTGCAACTGCTCATTTCAGTATTTCCCCCAGAGACCTCCTTAAGAACAAGGGCTGCCTCTCATAGGCTGCGTGCTGTACAGCAAAAATTGAGTGTTGGCTCCTGTCCCAAAAGTATAGGAGTAGCATTTTGGAAATGGTTAAAGGAACAGCAGCATTTCTTTTTAAATACCAAGTTACAACCGTGCCCATTTAGGTCTGGAAAGAAAGTCATACATGAGGGCAGCTTGGTTAGGAACAGGAAAAAAAGAAAAGTAGGGGGGGAATCAAGTGGGAGAAGAGAACAAAGCCCTGTTTCAAGAACACCATTGTTCGTGCAACTATAAACCTAGGGTCTATAAAACCATCAAGCAGAAACTGAAGTTGGCTGAAGCAGATAATACATTACTAAATGCTAGAGCATCTTATAAAATTCTTAAGGCTGCATCATGACAGAACACTTGAAAAGCAAACGAAACAAGTTTCTCAGATGAAATCTTCAGATTTCAGTACTTACAGATGTGTTAGACCTTGCACAGATGTAAAAGGTTCTGAATGGCAGCCGTACAGAGAGAGGTGATCCTGCAGCTACCCAGCGTTATCGAGATAGGACAACACGCTTCAGGCACACAATACGTGCCAGCTGCAACATTGACCTTGGATCTCTCATCCAGAATCCCCAGGCAGAGCAACAGAGGAGGTAGAAAATGACTGGTTTGATTGTAAGAAGTTTTCACATGAAAAAAGCTTCAGATAAAGGATGACTCATAACTTTAATTTAGCTTTAAATACTTGCTATTTGCAAACCAAACAAGACATTCCCTACTACCCGTGTTACCTATAAACCAAACCAACAAAGATAGCTTTCAGTTGAACAAAGCATGCCTACAAGATAAGGGGTGAGAAATATTTTCTGCATCATTATGTTACTTACATGGACTTCGAAAGAAATGGCACCAGTCACCACAAAGAACACATCAAAATGTGAAATTTAATAGCATTCCTAAGGTGCATTTGGGAACAAAAAGTTGATTACTGCCACTCTTAACTACTGCAAAAATACGAATGGCTCTTGCCTGTAATTTGTTTTCCATGCTCAGCTTTATTGAACATTACATATATCAAAATTCCTAGCTGACTTTTTAAGCCAGTGGAAGAGAAATCATTTCTTTCTTCTCTTTACAAAGAGTAGTGAGAAAACCAGGTCCTATTCATTGAGCATTCAAGTTGAAATCATCTTACTGCTACACATTTGTAAAGAACAAGAGCAATGAGGTCCCTAAAGACAACTAACAACAAAAATGGTAACAACCTGAGGCACACAGCAGGTTCACTGCATTTAACTGCAGCAGAGTGAGTGCAACTGAAGGTGCACTGGGGACCTTACAGCAACGCACCTTGAACGTACAGCTATACGGTTTGTAGCCTCTGCATGGTTAGCCTTCCTAAGTTATATATGCATACCAGGATTCCTACAGGAATTTTGGCTCTTCAGATACTGCCAAACTACTGAATTCCCAGGACAGAGCAGGCTTCAGAAGAAACTGCATGTAGTTTATTGTTAAAAGGTGTTTTATACGCATGCTCTTTATTCCTTGAGTCTAGCTTATTCTTTGCGACATTACTCAGTTGATTTTCCTTCATTCACATAAAAGTGGTTACACCAGCTTATCTGAGAAGCCCAAGAAAATGAAGCTAGAAATTTTTCATGCTGCAAAGACCACTACAGAAAAAGATTTCTAGAATGTTATCTTTGAATATGCACAGTCTAATGTGCACAACAGATCTATTTCCTTTAACAAATTACCTTAACAATGGTAAATCACAGTTTCATCATGCAGGTGAGGTAAGTGGCAATTCGATATTCAGAGCAAAAATTTTCAGTATACTTTTTTCCCCTAAAAAGATGTGTTACACCAACACTGCACTTATACAACCCTATCTTTCAGAGTCTTGAGACTCCAAACCTTCACTGCCACCCACCCTGGCCTTAGGAAACTCAACCACTAACAAATACTTAATAAACTTTCTTTGGACATATCCATGCACAGAACAAAATTAGGGCAGCCATTCAGATAAAATATTATAGGTTTATTTAAAACTTATTTTCCACTTGAATATGCAAAATACAAATTCCAACAAAATGTTCATTTTTGCTTCGTAGTTTACAAATATACAAAATAGAAGTTTGCTTAAATTTATATTACATATTTATTATGTAAAGAACTATATAGAAAACATTTGTTCTGCTTAAGGCATATTTGGGAATAAACCATTGTACAAACTATTGCACATCGAAACCACAGTGCATTACAGACTGTCTGCATAAAGTTATTTTCTTTAAAAAAAGATAAACCAGGTTTATTTACCTGATTTAGGTCATAATCGGTGATCGTAAGACAAAAATATTTCCTTGTCGGATATGCAGCAGTTTGAGAACTTTGGCTTCCTGTTTTTGGTACCTCTAGAACCAACAGTCACTAAGCACCATGAAATAGGCTTTTAAAATATAATTCTGTACCTGAATTTTTCCTCCTCTTTTAACATCGTAATGGCTTTTAGAAGGAAAAAAAAAGGAAAGTACAAGATGACATTTACATCTAATATTGCATTGAAAGAAAATTAAGGGAATGCAATTTCCCTGTGTAATATCCCCACCCTCCGAACTACACAGTCTGTTTAACCCTGATATCCATGACTTCCAGTCACTCCTTGGCATTCTGTAGTCCGGAAATAATTCAAGTTGGATTTACAAATGGAATGATAGAAGATCCAGTCATTGACCCCAATGTTTTTGGTTCTCTTTTTCTTTTAAATGTATAGATATAAAAAAAAAGTTGCAATGTCTGTATGCAGTTATCCCTCTTTTCCACTCTTTGGAAAACTTCACCTTGATTATCTGTAGTGCTTAAACTCTGTTCTCCCCATCTTGTGGAAGACAGTCCTTGTGCTGTAAATACTGAATCTCTGCGGCAGTTGTGGAAAGATCCACTGCTTCCAATTAAAAGTGCCTCTTCATGTGTAAGGCGAGGTGGTCCGACCTGGAAAATGCTCTGTCACACCGCTGGCACTGGAAAGGGCGGTGGCCTGTGTGTTTTCTGTAGTGACGAGTAAGTTCATCAGATCGGGCGAACTTCCATCCGCAGCCTTCCCAGTCACAGTGATAAGGTTTCTCACCTTTAAAAACAAAAAACAAAACGTGTCAGTGAGGTTTTTTTCGTGGCTACCACTTCTAACACCTTTCTTTCAAGAAGCAGTAACACACATTGTCCTGGGTTAAGAAAAAGGGCAATGTCAAAGAAACTGCAACAAGCTTCTTGAAGCAGTTGCAAGCAAACTACGAAGACTAACAGAGTAAAACTGTCTTTTCAAGATGTACAGGTACTATAAAATGTTGGCGTCTTCACTAAAATGCTCATTTCCACTGCTTGTCTTGCACACAAGGCTTCAGAGCATACAACTTCAGATAATAAGAGTGTATTTTTGCCAGCTAATGTTATATGATAAAACAGCAACCAGAAATAGCTCAGCAAACAATGTATTTAGATAATTGTAGGTCTCAAGAATTAAAAAACAGCTGGAAATTGTTTTCATTAGCTCAGCCTGATTAAGAACTCAAATCTTACTGTCTTCACTACAACAAAACCACTATTGATGGCAAGATGAGTTTTCATGACAATTACAAACCTCAGTCCTACGCATACTGGAGACAGTGCTGACCGGCTCAGGGCAGACGGGAAGTACTGTTCACTTGACCAACTTTCCCCCCCGCCTCCACGGGCATTAGCTGAAGATGTAGCGTTAACTACTGCACTACCCGTAGTTTCTCCCTTTCCCACCTCCTCTTCAGGACAAAGTTTTGAATCAAGTTCACAATCCAGGGATTTAAATTATGCAAATTCCCAGGTTATTTAATCACTGTTACAGAATGCCCGCACTGGCGAAACCACGCACGATGTACCTGCTTTCACAAGCTTAGTTACGGCAACACCACATCGGCTGCAAGCTTGAAGTTTGAACTCGGGCTCAGTTACACACTTTGGCAGATTTTATCCTAATTCTAGCAGCAGCCAATCAACCATTAAACTCTGCCTCTTTGGTGGCTAGTGCAGCGGAAGATGTGCTCCCATGCATAGGCGAGGCACCACGTCAGTGCTGTGGAGCGCTGAAAGCCCCACTCACAAGGGGCCCATCACAGTTTTCCCAGAAGGGGAACAGCAGCTTGCAGAGGGGCACAATCTCTGGCACTGCAGCAAGCCAAGCCAAGCGGGGTGCGTGTGTGAAGCATTTAACCATGAGCAAAGAAAGCAGTATCTTAGAGGTCTGCTCCTTTGTCAGAAGCAGGCCAACACCATCTAGAGTAACAAATCCCAGCTGACTTCCAACTACCTGCTAATTAGCTAGCCACATAGCAAGAGAGGAGCAACAAACTTTGCCTTGGCAAGAAACCCACCCGCTCCCACATCTGAGTCATTCTGAACCATTAAGCAAAGTCCGGAGCCAATAAGCGAAGACTACACAGGACTTCACGTAGCCACAGGGGGAGGAAAAAAAGCCCAGAAACCCAGCAGAGAAGGGTTATGACTTGCTACTTTTAGCCCTCCACCTGTGCTCCCCACTTTTCACTGTCCAAGGGGCTCACCCCATGCCCCTCAGGCCAGTGCATCCCACTGACCCTGCACTGGGACTAACCTGTGTGGGTTCTCAGATGCGCCTTCAGATGAGAGCTCTTGGTGTAGGTTTTGCCGCAGCCCGCATAGTCGCAGGTGTGTGTGGCCGTCCTTTTCCGAGGCCATGACCGGCGCCCCCTCTTTGGCTTGGTCTCCTCAGGCAGGCAGCTCCCTGGTGGCATCAGCTCTAGAGGTGGACAGGGAGGAGTGAGCACCACCACAGCCTGCGTCAAAGCAGGCGCCCCAGCGTGCCTGCGGCCAAAGCACAGGGACTCACCTTGGTACTGGAGCGTGCCAGGCGGCAGCTGCTCAGGCAGGAAGGTGGGGTAACCGGGTGCCGGGGGGTACCCCGGGGGCAGTGGCAGCGGTGGGTGGCTCAGCCCTGGGGCGGCGGGGAGACAGTCTCTGCCGCTCAGCATTTCCTCCGGCCCCAGCGAAGGCGTAGTCCGGGCGGGCAACGGGTGGCCCAGGGAGAAGTCATGCTGGGGGGCTCCTCGGGGGCCACTCCCAGGAGGCGGCGGCGGCGGCGGGGC